CAAGCAAGCAAGCAAGCAAGCAAGCAAGCAAGCAAGCACGCGACAGAATTTTACCCCTGGGTTTAATCCTCACCAAATACTTAAACCATGAAATGGTTAATAATCAGATAGAATGAATGAATCTTATTCCCATTGTTTCCGTTTTCGTCTATACATTTGACTATCAACATCAAAGTACTTTTTGTATAGGAAATCGCTCGAGTACAATTCGGAATTTATAGGCACGAGTGATGTTTTGAAAGTTTTCAAAATGAGACGAGGCTTTAGGGGAGTTTCAAAACATCGAGTATCTATAAATTCCGAATTGTACGAAGAGAGTGTGCGATTTTTTTTGTTTATAATTCACACATCAAAATTGAGCAACTTAATTGTGACTCTACAGAGTACAATTTGGGATTTAATTGTACTCTTCTTGTCCAATCAGAATCGAGTAATTTTGTCGAGTGTATTAGGGAGCGTTGCGTGACGACCGACACTAAAAACGGATGCGAGGGAGAAGTGTTTTATTAGGATTTAAAAACACGAGGCGTAGCCGAGTGTTTTTAGACCTGATAAAACACGATCTGCGAGTTTATTGAACGGCTTCAAAAACTGATAATGTATGCTCTCATATTGTACTGAATTCTTTACGAAATGAACCAAGTTTGATAGAGAAAATCCAAGTTAAGGTTTATGCAAATGAAGACGAATCTATATTAGATATAAAACCTCCTTCATGGTCATGATTTCTATTGTGTTTCCTTCATGAATTATTAATGTGTTTTTTAATGACTATTAAGATTCTTTTTCATCCACATGAATGAAACAACTCCAGTAACTACATCTGCCGTAATAAATACAGGTTCAGCAACAGCAAAAATATCAACCACAGCAGCCGCAGCAACGACCAACACAACAGCAACAACAGTTGCAACAATAACACCATCAACAACAGCTGCATCAACAACAACTGCTAGTAATACGTCATCTACTACAAAGTCCATGACACCCACCACAGCAACATCAATAACAACAACATCGGCTGGTTTTGGTGCCACAACAGTTTCCACAAGTGGCTCACAGATATCCTCAGTGGTTCCAAGTCCTTCACCCAGATCCCCTACATCACAGTCGAGCTCTATCGACTCTAGGAGTGTTAGTAACTCCACAGTGACTCAAGTGACCACCATGACAACATCAACAACRACAACACCAGTCGTGCAGCCTACAACATCACCACCAAAAACCAAGGCTATCAGCATAAAAGTAACCTTCGATATAACATTCAAAGTGGAGTACAGAAACAAAGAATCTAATGCCTACAAAGAGCTGACGACAAATTTCACCAAAGTTCTGAATGCGACTTTTAGTAAAATGGAAGGGTTTATTCGCGTAGTGGTCCTCTCCTTACGCGAAGGAAGTGTCGTCTGTGATTTTGATGTTATTTTCAAGGAGACTGCAATCCCCAAAGTGGAAGACGTGAAGGCAACGTTAGTTAAGGCTCGCAAAAACAACCAGCTTGGGGGTTATGGTGTTAAGAAGATAGAAGTCGAAGGAGAAAAAAAAGATGAAACGACCAAAGATGATTTGCCTTTGTGGGCTACTGTGACTTTGATTCTTCTTGGAGCTTTGGGACTGGTTCTGCTGATAACAGTCATCATTCTTGCGGTAAGTTATCATTCTTATCCACTAACCCTATGCATCGAATCGAAATATGGCGAACAATTTAAATAACTATTGTTCTGGACGACAAGCCTTTCGTCACGTGTTATAAACATAAATGCGTTTTCACATGTACGAGAGGCTAGTCATTCCAGAGCAATAGTTCTTTTAGGGTGCTCCGCGGCCCTCATGGACGAGAGAAAAAGAACAACGAGAGCTAAACAATGTGTGAAATATACTATTTGACAGCGAACTGCATTTTGTAAAAACTAATTTTGTTCAATATTTTAGGTGGCATAGCACAGAGGCGGATCCGGGGRAGGAGTGCAGGTGGTGTGCACCCCCTGAGATGAATGATTTACAGTCAATTATAACATTATTATTATTATCTACTTTTGGTGTACGAGTCCTGAGCATGAACAGTGCTCCCCCTCCCCCTCCCCCCCTGAAAAAAACATTCCTGGATCCGCCCCTGCAGTAGACAAAGATATATATAGCTAATATAGCTATAAATTTGATCAATTTTTTTTAGGTTTTATTGAAGCGTAATAAAGAAAGTGGGCCACTCTATCAGGTGTCCGGGGAGGAATGGTCCCATTACGAATCAATGTGTATGGGTGATTATAAAGTGAGAGCTGGAGAGGTAGGACACGGAAGACTTCGAAATGGAGACAACAAACAGCCAGTTTACGAAAATCATCCTACTTCTCATTCTAACTTGGTAAGTGAATATCAATAGATGGCGTGGCGTGGCGTGGCGTGGCGTGGCGTGGCGTGGCGTGGCGTGG